GTGGGCGTCTGGGTGCAAGCCCAGGCGGTTAGCCCCCCTGCGGCCAGGGATCTGGGAAGGCAGGCCGGCTCTCAGGTGACAGCATGCCCGGGTCAAGTGAAAACCAGTCAATCTCACAGCTTCCCGCACGGTTTTGAAGCTTTCAAAACGAGAAGCCCCTCTGTATCCTGATAGCTGATGAGTAAGAGTCACTTGACCTTCCCTGCCCCCAGCGCATAACTTGAGCCTGAATGCTTGCATGCCAGTGTGTCTGCAAAAAATAATTCTACCCAAAATGAATTTCTTGTATTCGGGGTAACTGTTTGTGTGTGTGTGTGTGTGTATGTGCAAGGCAGCTTGGACCCATTGTTTGTCAGTCTGGTTTTTTATATCTAATATGTATTTGATTCATATGTAAGAACTTATTTTTCTTTAAATTACGGTGGGAGACGGGAAACTTCGGTAACAGGACCGATGTGCTCCCAACATCCACCTGCCCAATTCACTTTCAGATCCATCCATCAGTTTCAACCATGGTGCACAGCAGTGCATCACGCAGTTAAGCTTTCTATAGGCAACAGTTTGATAGGCGGAAAAAACATAGTCCAAATTATTCTGTTGTTGTGGAGGAAGCTCAAGTATTAGCTTAGTGGCTGTAAGCTGGTTTTAGCCAGCTGTTGGACCATCAGCGTGTTTGGAGCAAGGAAGCAAACCTTTGTCCACCATAGCGAGCAGCCATGTCTCTAAGGGGAAGAGTTTGGTTCCGAGTACCCAGTGTGCACATGACTTATGGTTTGGGGGCGGGGGGGGGGCTAACTGTGGTCTGATTTTATGGGCTGAATTCTCGGTAGGACCATATCTTTCAATTTAGTATGATCCAAAATAGATCCAGTTTGTGCACCTTGCTCTTTAAAGTGACCCAAAGCACAGTAGGTGAAGTTGGGTGGAAGGATTTCTTCAATAAACATGCTCCTGATCTGAGCTAACATACTGATTTAGGTACACCAGCCTCTTGCCACTCTTGAGGAATATGGGAAGGGGAGAAGGTTTGGGGAACTTTGGAGCAAAAGGAACTGGATATATTGCTGTTGCCAGGAAGAGTATTTGGGGATGTTAAGAAAGGAACTGAAGGTGTGGTTACTGTGGTATAATGGCATGGATGAGGACAACATGCAAAAAGGACACATCTCTTTAGGCAATGAGGCTTCAGTAAATTTGTTCTCCTCAAGGAAGTGCTATGCAAGTTTTCATGCAGTCACTTGTTGCAAAATTATTTATTTATCTATTTATTTATTTTTGAAGAGGCATAATCACATACCTGAATGCAGATACCTTTCTTTGTGCTATTTGTCTAAACTCCCTTTAATGGAGAGCAATACACGCTTCTAAAGCGTTTTTCAGTGTGTTCTGAAGTAGACAAAAGATGAGACAAACCCACCCTGGCTTCCAGTGTCATGGATAAAGGTATAAAGCTTTAGCAATGGATCATTTTAATTTTGTTTTTGAAGTATAGGCTGTTTGCCATGTGATGTTGACAGTAGTTACCAATCACTTTTGCTAATCTATTCAGAGGATGTTTTTCAAATTTAAATTTTGTCTTGCACTGTAAATCACTCGCCCTGTGAAAAAATGCCTGAGATTTAGCAAAATCTTAGCTCATCTATGGCCCAGAAGTTATTGGCAATTGCAGATCTTTGACTTTTGATTCTTTTGAGCTTTAAGTATTTTAGGCTATGCAAGGGACATTTGAGTAAATCCATTGCATAGGCTCTTAATTAGTCGGTGGTGGTATTTTATGAAGTGATGGGATGGATTCTACATCCCTAAAATTAAATGGGAACAGAATTGAGCTCATCATGATTTGAGGCTGCTCAGGTAAATAAGAAGAGTAACTTGGGTTTATGTGGAAATGTTAATTTGGTGGTGTTTAACTGAAGCTGTATAATCCTGCTGATGGGAGAGAGGAGCACCCAGTTTCCATTTGATTCCTTGGAAGTATAATGTTGATTATTAGCTTCCTCAAAGTGGGAAACAGATGAGCTGCATGTAGAAGACTTAGCCTACTGTGGTTATGTGTGAAACTAGACATCCCGAATTTAATTCAGAACGATGACTCATTGAGAAAGTCAGTTAAAGGAACTGCTTTCTAGCCTGTGCTGGCTTATAATGCTGTAAGAGCTTCAGGAGCTCAATATATTTACCATTTTTTCCCCTTTTTAAACAGGCACTACTTTGCACTGCCCACTAATCCCGGTGAGCAGTTCTTTATGTTTTGCACGCTTGCTGCTTGGCTAATCACTAAAGCGGGACATCCCTTCGAACAGCCACAGGAATACGATGACCCCAATGCAATAATATCAAATGTACTCTCAGAATTGCGATCATTTGTAAGTGTTGAACATGCCGTTTTCCCAAGTGTATTTCAAGCACGTGCATCACCTTCAGAAATAACAGTAATGACACATTTTCTCTGCTGTCTGATCATGTTCCCAAGGACTGGACAGACTTTTCCTACCTATAAGTTTGTACTACGTTAATTAGTTAATTGGAAGTTTGTACTGTGTGTACCCACTTGCTAACTTTTTGGCACTACAAAAATGGTCTTACAGTATTATATACAATTCCAATTAGTCTTGTTCCACAATCTGTAAAATGGATTAAATCAGGCTTACTTTTTATAGTGCCGCATGTGTTCCTCATTTATAGGAGTATAATTTACAAAGATTTTATACAGTGCTTGTGATCCTGCTCCTGCCAAAGTAAAAGGTATCATTCATAGCAAAGGAGATGGTTTAGAAAGTCTTCTTCGTATTTTTTTTGTTAAGGAGTAAAAGGTTGCGTAAACTGCCAGGAACTATTGGGATTTTTTTTCAACGTTAAACCAAAACAAACCTGAAGGTCAGGATTGTGTATCACTTTACAGGACGTGTGATCTTATGGGAGATTATACTGTGGTACAGCTGTGAATGATGTTACGAGCACTGTTCTCTGAAGGACTTACTTGATAAAAAACCTAAGGTGTTTATTCTGTAGGACAGCAGTAAATAAAAATAAAATATTTTGTAAATAAAATCTGGAACAAACGACAATGTTGAAAAGCAGGTGGTTAAGTCTCAGTACCGGAGCTCCTCCTTAGCTATTCTTGCCTTGCCAGCATGTCACTTGTGTGCTTGACTATCTAGCTTCCTTGCTGCTTCTGACTCTTCTGCTCCCTGTAAGTATCCTCTTGCCAGGTGCTTTAAGATTTCTAGACTGCATCTGTTCCTTGGGTTGTTCTGTTTTCTCTTCTGTTGCCTGACTGGAGCTGCATAGGGGAAGAATATGAACTAACATTGGTAAAACCTTCACACACGATGGACACTGGTTTTAGCACAGTAAATCTTGTTACCTCCCTGAGAGGAAACTCGACTGATGGGTAGCCACTAGTAAACAGTGTATCTCTTTATTTTAGGGAAGGCCTGTGGATTTTCCTCCGTCAAAATTAAAGGCAGGTTGTGGAGAGCAAGCGTGCTATGTTCTTGATTGTTTAGCTGAAGAAGCCTTGAAATACACTGGCTTTAGCTGGAAAAGGTATAGTACACTTGTTGTTTCATGAGATGCAAAATTCAACTAGGCTTGAGGCAGTGGGACAAATTAATTCCTAATGCAATTTAGTCTGTTACTATTACCAGCAAGGATGAGTTAGGGCCATTAATAGACTTAGCTAATTAATAAAAATTTGACTGATGACCTTTTTCTGGGTCATTTTCCTATGCATAACTGCTTGTTAATCTGCCAGTTGAGTTGAAACATTAATATTCTTTTAGGTCCTATCAATCAATCTTGACCTCTTCAGTTGGAGGTATGCACAGTATGTGATCATGTTACAAATAGACTACAGTAACTTTGAGTATTTAATCCAAAGGAAATCTTAGGAGAAATTAAATGACACATAATTTCAAATATATGAAAATTTGTTTGGAAGTGTTCTTTATTTCATTCCTTCCCTCTGATGGGTTTTGAAATGGATATAGCAAAGTAATTTCTACCTTGGAAATATCTTACTCTTACCTCTATTTAGTACAAAATTCCACTGTAAGCCAAAAATAAGTCTGTGGTGACTTGTACTTCAATTTCAAGAGGTTGGACCAAAAGAGAAAACGGCTCAAAATTTACTCCCCAGGTGTCTTTGCAGTATGTACTGTACTGCTTGGCGTAATAACTAACCCTCATTTTTAAGAAGTCCAAGATAAACAAAGACTTTTAAGGCTGAGCTTTAATTTTATTTGTTTAAGTGTGTGAGACACTGTCTAGTCCTATTCTACATCATCCATACTTCTCATGAAATGTTTTGTTTGCTTAGGAGAAGTTTGCAGAGGTATTTCCAATTTACTGTATTTAAAACCTCTGCTGTTCTTTGAATGAATTTCAGGCCAGCATATCCAACAGAAGAGCTAGAAGAAGAAGAAATAACAGAAGATGATGCAGAATTAACACTTAATAAACTGGAAGAGGATGTTGTGGTAAGTTTAGCTAACTGGTTTTGATTATATCAGTATTGGTCAGCTATGAGGAAATTTTTCTCACTGTTCATTTTGTTTGGCTTTGTTTAAGAAGTCTTTTCTACTAGCTGTTCCATTGCCTGTTTTTCCTGTAACTCCTTTCCTGCATTGTCAGCTTCTCTGTAGAGTTTTTTGTTTCTTTTCAGATAAGGTTGTTAACTCTTCGGGACAGAACTTATGTTCTTATGTGCATTTATAGTTAATGTAAAGTGAGCTGGAATCTAACCATACATGAAAATTGCATAGATTCAGAGTTGTTTTTTTCTGCTAGTACAAGCTGTTGATGTTAAACGAAACTTCAATCCCTGTTTACAGAGTTGGCTAATATTTGGTTAAAATTTGCCCAGCGCCTAATTGATAGAGTATTGTAACTCAGATTTCACTACAAATAGGAAACAGTAACTTTGGTACTTAGTTGATCTTAAGACTTGGGAACAGGGTAGGCAGAAAAGAACAACTGGAAACTGAGCATTTGTTTAAAAACACTAGCAAAAACGTAAATAAATGTTGCAGAATTGTTTCTGTAGAGGAAAGTCATGGCAACTCATCGCTGTATACTCCATGAAAGAAATGGTAATATCCAGTCATCCATGATGGAGCCAGACTCTTCTCAGTGGTGCCCAGCGACAGGACAAGGGGCAATGGGCACAAACTGAAACATAAGAGGTTTCAGTTGAATATGAGGAAGAACTTCTTTACTTTGAGGGTGACTGAGCACTGGAACAGGCTGCCCAGGGGGTTGTGGAGTCTCCTTCTCTGGAGATATTCAAAGCCTGCCTGGATGGTGTCCTGTGCAACCTGCTCTAGGTGAACCTGCTTTAGCAGGGGGGTTGGACTAGATAATCTCTCGAGGTCCCTTCCAACCCTTGCCATTCTGTGATTCTGACTGCAGAGTAAGTCCTTCTGCTTTGAAATACCTTTTAGCAACAAGATAGCAATGTTTGAGGATGAACTGTTTCATTTATTCTTGCTTTTTAGATAGAAGAATTACAGTGAAGTTGTTGTGTCTATGAAACAGCTTATGAAATGCACCTATAAGTTCAAATATGCTTTTAGGACTTAGTGATGGATGTTTGTTGAGCAGAAGTTGTTTCTTGCTGATTAACATTCTCAGAAGATTATTTTTATGAGAGTTGGGAGTCTCGCTGTTATCTGGTAGCATAATGTTATCACAAGATATTGTAATTTTCACAGGCCTCTGTCAGTCTCCTTGAAATGAGTCTTTATACTGCTGACTTCAAAAAGAATTTTCTGGAGAGGGAAGTTAGCTGAAGACAATTAAAGTGACAAATGCAAAAAGAAGTTAGTTTCACATCAGATTTCTCCACAAGCTGATGATTCTGTGCAAAATAAATGTAGATCAAAACCAAAATTTTGAAAGCTGTGAGCCTGGAAGTGTTCACTTGCTGGGTCAATAAATTACTTGAGGAGAAAACAATTTTCTGGAGTGTTAAGGCCCAGCATAAATAGGAATGGGTAGAAAATGCCACAACTGTCCCATTTTTGTGTTCACATCTTTCAAGGGCTTGGAAAAATGTAAGGTCATAAAAGTTGGAAATAGAATGCCAGTTATCATGTTATTGTATGGTTCTGATCATAGTCCCAGTTTATACGCCACAACAGTCCACAAGAATGTAACAGCTGAAGAGCTTGCTTCTTCCTCTTCTCACAGTTTTCCTAAGTATTGCGTTATTTTTCTCATTTTTATTAGTCAAGAAAAATTTGAAGCTTTTCTTCTTAAATGTCATATGATATGCAAATATCGTGATGTGGATGTCTGGTTGCATTTTTACCAGCTTTGAAGTCTGCATAGAAAAAGTCCTGAATAATTCTGAGAACAATAAGAGACATTCTGTATTGTGTGTCTGACCAGCCTCGGAAATGTAAGCAGTTGGCTAAAAACCTGAAATATGAAAACAGTCAGCTGCTTTCGCTTTTTTTTTTGTCTTGTTGAGGTCTAAACTGTTAAATTGGGAAGTGGGAAGGAAACAGTTAACTAAAGCACAGTTGAAACGCTTCAAAGAACCTCTGGATTTGCTCCCAGGCAGTATCTGAGGCCATGATTTTCACAACTAACATGTTTTATTAGCTCTTCTGAGTTTGTGTGTTAGTAAAACCATTGAGCTAGGTTTATACCAAGTGGATAACCACTTTTTTAGAGCCCCTAATGGTTCTACAGGGATTAATTATATGCTGATGTAAATTTTTTTTTCCCCAGTCCATTGTTGCTGCCAATATATTGATATGTCCTGGATCTATTAGCTGTATCCATAATTGAATTTGCTAATGACGAGATTCATTGATTGTTCTCCTGGTTTTGATTCTTCTGAATAAAACTGATGAGGTGGACAGAGACAAGACTATTTCTGTAAATCTTGGGGAATTAGGTGAAGAGTAGCCAGCAAGGCTGGCTGGAAGGAAATCTGCGCAGTTTGGTTTCTCAGTTCTGATAACTAGTCTTGTTGTTGTCATGGTAGTGTTTTAATACGTTCTTCTAAGCACTGTACAAATATATATTGTCCATTTAGCAAAAGATAGTCCCAATCTAGTCACAATTAATTTCCTGCAAGTATTCAGGGGACTAAGGACCAAATATGCCAGAAGAAAATAAAGTGGTCCCTGTTAGTTAAAAACTAGGTAAGGTGCAGGAATAAGCTCCCAGGTTTTCACTGCATCTTGAAGGGTTCTACACTAAGACCTGTGTTACTGCAGCATTCATCATTTGTCTAGAAAGGAGGTGAATGATGAAATTTGACTTTGGTGGAAAAGATGATGGCTAACAGAAGAGCTAGAGAAGGACAAGGTGTGTAAGGGTGAAGTGTATGGGTGATAAAATGGCAGGTGAAATTAAGTATAGATAAATGGAGGGTAACACACGGCAAAATCATCTTTGATTTATGCAATGATGGGCTCTGAGCTGATCATGATCCCTGAGGAATGCTATTTTAAGACTGTAATCGGTAATTCTATAAAACTGTCAGCCCAGTGCATAGTGTCATGGGCAAGAAAACAAGTTGATTGCCTCCATTTTAATTGTATCGTTCTGCACATTTTTAAAATATGGCGTTGTTCTGAAGCTCCAAATCTGTAGCGCAGCCAACATTTTGACAGCTGTGTTCAGGTCTGGGTGTGGTTTGTTTTTTGTTTTGTTTTGGTTTTATTTTTAATGTAAAGCTTTAGGAAACACATAAGAAGTTACAGTTAGCATACAACTATTGATAATGACCCATCTGATGTGAGAGGGCTTAGGTTTTGGGGGTTTTTTTGGTTGTTTGGTTTAGTTTTTAAATACTGTGGCACCCTGAGGGAAATGTGGGGCAGCTTTCATCTTCCAACTTATTCCAGATACTGTGTCTCCTCGTAAGATTTTAAGTAAATACAAGCGCCATTATCATAAACTCTTCATGTCAGAAACTTGGAATTTAATACTCTGTGCCCTGTGCTCCTGCAAAATAAAATTGTGGAGAAAGATTGTGCAATACTTACTGAAGTCTTACTTTGTGACTTTCCTTAAGGAAGAAGAGTCAGATAATGAAGAAAATTGTCTTCTTTTGAGAGATTTTTACATCTGTAGCATATCTGTTGATATTTTGTATAGAGACTTTGTGATTATTAGTCTTCTTTTGAGAGATTTTTACATCTGTAGCAGCATTTTATTTCTGTTGGAGTTAAGTGTGAAAGTTCTTATATAGTCTAAACTTGAGAAAGCATTCCAACTGAAATGAATCAGCTTATTTTAGAAGAAAAATGTACATCCAGTTCCTAAACTGTTAATACTGCAAGATTGCTAGAAACATTTGCAAGAAATTTTTGCAGAGACTTTGAAGGGAATATGGTTAGTTTCTTGAATGTATTTTAGTTTTTCCCCCCTTGCTATTTCTGGAATGTATTATAATTTCTTACTATATACATTTTATTCTTTTTAATTCTAAAATACGATGAGAAGATGTTTATTTTAATTCCTAGTCTTTATGTATTCAAAGAAAGCCATTAAGTAAATCTGTTATATCTGTAGTCTAGATCATTCTGGATATAAATTTTTTTCTGACTATGAACACTGTAAGCCATTGTAACTTAATTTCTCACTGTGCATAATGTTGATATTTTGTATAGAGACTTTGTGATTATATTTTTTTTATTACATAGGACATGAATGACTCTGCAAAGCAAGAGGAGATTTTACAGTCCACAACAGATGCAGCAGAGTGGAATCTGGAAGTGGAACGCGTGCTTCCACAGCTGAAAGTTACAGTCAGGACTGACAATAAGGTATGTGAGAATGGCTTTGCATGTGTACACATGGTGATTAAAGTATGATTTCAGTCAGTGTTATTTACTTTCCATTTACAACTTTTTTGTCATGCCAAGAATTGTGAATAATGGGCTCTCCAATGTTATCTTGTCTGAATCTTTGAGCCTAGAAGCAATAATTTTTCAGTAGGTTCTTTTCCCAACATTATATAAGAGTAATTTTTTCTGCTACTTACAGGGCACCTTATATTTATTTACATATATTTATTCAGTGGAAACTTCTTAAATCATTAAACATTTCTAATGCATTCATATTTCTGAAAAATTATACCCTCGGTTTAGCAGCTATTAAAACATCTTCCTGGAAGAGAGCTGAGGAACTTCTTATCTTTCCACTGTTCAATGTCAACAACATGAAAGGTTGATTGCATGGAATTAATTTTGCTGAACTTTAAATGGCAACAAAGTAGGTCTGTATCTCTGACCTAGTCATCATGGTCTCTCGTTATGTTTAGCAAAAAGAAGTGAGTACTTTTTCAACTGATTTTACTTACCTGTCCAGATAACTACCTCTAGATGAAATTCATTATTTCTTAGAAATTAGTATTTCTTTCCATAATCTATTCCACGGAGTCTAGAATGAGCAGCTTAGAAGCAGACATCTGTCTTTGGCAAGTCAAAGTCCAAACCAAGGACCTATTCCTGGCATTGCCATAAACATTCTTTCTAGGAGCTTGTATAGCACACACAGATCAGTACAGTATTGAAATTGCTCATTTGTTGTGACCCAGCTAGTTGGGGTGTTGGAGCAATGTGTAGCAATGATACAGAATTCAATGAAAGATTATTATCTTGCCCAAAATAGGCTAAGCTCTCAACTGCCTTTTAAGTTGTTTGCCTGTCTTATGCTATGCTGCATTCTTCTATGCGCAGAATTGCCTGGTTTGAGGCACCTTTCTCTGATCCTCAGCAAGCCCATCTGTTACAGAGAACATCATGCTTGATTCTCACACTAAGAAATTAAAACTTAATAAAGACATAGGTGGAAAATTAAAGCCACTGTAAGAACTTAGGTTTACTACCTTCCAGTTTAATGCACCATCTCTTGGCTTTAAGAAATATGTCAAAATGAACATGAGAACAGGATTCTTCTTTTTCTAGCTTCTGTGCTATCACGCTTTCAGAAATAACTGGAGACAAGTGTTTGGGTTTTTTACATTCTACAAGAAAAGCATCGTGTTCTGTTTCCTATGTGGTGCGTGTATACATAGTACAGGAGAGGGTTAATGGTAATCAATGGCATTAGAAACTAGAACTTATTTGTAAAGTCCTGGGCAGGGGTGGGAGGTGTGTGTGGGGTGTTTGTTGTTTTTATTTAAACTCCAGAGTTTGACAAATTTTGAACAATTGTCACCAGACCAACAAAAGATCTTGACTCTGCTGCAAACTTAAACCCCAACATACAACATAAGCACATTTTCTCTACTAGCCTTTGTTTCGTTCTGGAAGAGAATAGTGGGCAGCAACACAATTGTAGGCAGCAGGTGAACCTGATGGGCTGAACGGCTGTTGGAGATGCTTGGCTGTGCTCTTCTGAGGTAGTGAGACAGAAGCACCAGTATTTCGGTAGTTAGGTGTGTGTCCCCTGCAGGCGGATTGCCTCACTTCAAATCAGTGGAACTGCCTGTGATTGAAGGATGGCACATGTTTAAGCACACAGCTGTTTTAAGACAGGATTTGTTTTGTACCTGTTATGAGATATTATAAGCGGCTGTATCCTCCAGGAGCTCTGGGATTGGGAATTCCTCTTGCTCAGGTGCTGCAGCCCAGCCCCGTGTGCCTGGGGACCTGTGGGTCCCCATACCAGACTGATGGATGCAGCTGCTGCTTTCTTCTTGTTTGCTGGTTCAGAAGCATGTATCACACAGACACACAGAGGACCCTGACATGGCCCACAACAAAAACTGCCATAAACAAGGCCCTGTCTTCAACAGCACTTCTAGGACTCCCGTAAAATATAAGTATAGACAGCCAGTCCCCCTTCCTCCTCTTCAGCTAATTAAGATTGAAGTTCAGCAGTGAAAGCTCACACTGCCTGCTCTCTAGATTCACAGGCACATGTGCATTTATGGATCCCTCAACTATCAGCATGGTCCTTCTGTCTGTCTGATCCTCCTGTCTGGGTGCTGTGCCCTCTTAAGTGTTTCACTGCTCTTCTACGTGCCAGCTAGTCCAGCTTGGCTCTTGCCAGCAGACAGACGCACACACTCACATGCTTGTCTTAAGGGTGCTCTACATTTGTGGGTCCCCCTGAATACCAGCATGTACCCTCTGCTGGCCTCATAACCAGGCCTGGATCCAGGGCCTACTACTTGACAGCAAGTTCAGTTTTAAATCTGCTATTGCGTTTCAGACCTGTACAGCAGGTTTAGGGAAGATGTAAAGATTTGTTTGTCCCCACCCCAGCAGCTGGCACCAGCAACGCGGGCTTGTGACCTGCAGTCTCACTCCAGCTGCTGGCACTGAGCCCCTCACTTGCTTCACTCACACCGGTCCTTCCCAGTAGCTGGATTTTGGGATACATGCAGGTCCTTGGTGGCTGAGACCCTCACCTGCTCCTGTGGCTGGCACTGAGACCCCCACTCTCTCTGGCTGTAGACAGCACAGGCCTGGGACACTTGCAGCCCAGTGAGCACGAGATAGAGTGTGAGATTGCACAGAAAGATAATTTTAAAGGAATTTAATGAGAAGATAGGACAGGCTGCAGTGATCAGGCACAGGCCTCAGTCAGACAACTGGACTGACTGGCAACAGTTTACACATGGCCAGCCCTTCTTATATCCCTCTCTTTTCCCCACTTTGTTCCTCCCCAGACCTCTTCCCCTGCATGTAGCTTCATCAGTTTGCATAGCTGCACCAACCCTGTCCCAAATATCCAGAACCCCCAAGTTTGCACTCTCATCAGTTGCAAGGGCCAGGTTCGCCTTCTCTGAAGTGATGCTTGCAGATTCTTGATAGCCCATCAGTTAGTGTGACTGGTGAGCTTTGTTTCTTGTCCTTGTCTCCCTTGGTGTTTGGCTGACAGGTCTGTGTCTCTATAGGTTTTGGTTTTTCCCTCCCCCTTTTCCTTATCATCCCATTTTGACAAGGTCCTCGATCAGATAATTGTACTGATACAAACATTTGCACACTCCACTTGCCCTTATCCATTAGTGTAACTAGCCAACTTTGCTTCTTGTTACTGCCTCCATTATTGTTTGTCGGTCAGGTTTGCACCTCTCTGTTTTGCTTATCATCCTTTTTGACAAGGTCCTTGATAATCTTACTGAAGCAAACCCTGTCACCTTCCATGTATCATTCCAGAACCGATTTTATAAGAAAGTCTCCTAAGGTTTGATTTCAAGTGATAAAGATTTGTTAACATCACTTTTTTTTTTTTTTTTTTACTACCTAGACCAATGCAGTGCCAAAAGCTTAAAAATCTTAAAAATATTTTTTAGCATGTTCAGAAACACAATACTAAAATAGCAGTAATTCTCTAGTGCTGCTACTCTGCTTCATTTTGAACTCACAGTCTGTCTGCAGCTCTGCTTTGGGTCTGGGAGATGTAAAAAGTTTGCATTGATAAGGAAAAAATTGTGATAAAGCTTGGGAACTGGAATTGATTTCTAAGTAACAGATGTCCACCTGTCAAGTTAAAACAGCACCTTTTCTCATCCCCCATCCCTGAGTCCATGTAGGTTTCCTATGACCTAGAAGCTGCAAATAATTTTCCCCCTTCTAATTTTGTCCCGCTATCAAAACCAAGTTTAGGTATTTCTGCCCCTTTCATTTCTTTCTGTTCTTCTCCAGATAATAGTAAGGGCTAAGTAGAAAGGGAGGATCTGATAGTCTGGAACTGGTAGGTGTTTGTTGGGCATTTGAAGCACTTATTTTGTCTAAGAATAAGCTGAACTAGCACAGCTATAATCAGTGTTTTCAGTATTTGTGCCCAGAGTGGTTTCTAGCAGAAATAGTTCCATGAAGATCAAACAGACTCTAAAAAGCATAGCTACTATGGTATTGGTGAGGATGCCAGTGTTTGTTTATGGATCTGAGTGTCACATGTGACATGTAGATTTATAAATTGTGTCACATGAAGCAAGTGCCTCTGGATGTGAACATGGCAGTGGCAGAATGATACACAGTATATAGTATAAAAGTGACCCTGCCTTGCATACCAGCCTTGATTTAGTAACCAGAGAAAGATAAAAGTTGTACTTACCTGTGTTTTACTTTGTGGCATCTTTTTTAGGATTGGAGGATTCACGTAGATCAAATGCATCAGCATAAAGATGGAATTGAATCTTCTTTGAAAGAAACTAGGGTATGTCTTGTATGTGCAGAATACTCCACTGATCTGTCAGCATTCTTATTTTCTCTTTATTTGATACACGTTAAGAACTAAATCGATTTTTTTTTTCCTTCATTTTATTTGTGCTAGTGCTGTAAAACTAAAAAGGGAAACATACAATAGTGATGATT